CCCCCCCCCCCCCGCTGCCACTCTCCATCCGTTCAGGCCAGTGGCACGTGGAGGTGTACTAGGCTGCTTCCAGTACAAGAGAAACGGAGAGCAAACAGCAGCAGTCGTGGCTAGGATAAAAAGCTCTGTCTTGGCTGCGATTTCGCGGTGCCCCCTAGTAGTCGATCAATTTTTTGTCCGGTTTCTCTGTTGACGTCTCCCTTTTCTTGGCCGCAACAGTTTTGGAAAGCCCCGATAGTGTGGTTTTGGACTTGGTTGTCCGCTAGATGGCGGGAGGGCAATCGTGGTCGTAACATGCTCTCTCTAGCTTTTTAAGTCAGGGCCCTCGTCCATCGAGCGACCTGAGTCTTTCCTACCTTTTTCCTGGTGTCCTGTCTTTGTTCTTTCTCGAATCGTTGTAAAGCTGACGAGTCGGGGGCGTTGAGGAAGAGAGGGACGGGGTAGGGGGTAATTATCGTAGCGTCCGTTTTCCGCGAATCTTTGCATTGGGTTGCGGGGGCGCTTCATCTCGTTCGCCATTCATCTGGCTGGTGAGATGTAGAGAGCTTGCAGGGGTTCAGATAGGAAGAGAAGGGAAAAGGAAGAAGACTAGTTGTTTGTTAACTTTAGAGAAGCTGTTTTGCGTATAGAAATTGTTCGGCGCTCTTTATTGTCCCAATCTCTCACAATTAGGGCGGCGGGGGGACGGGGTTGACTAGAGAAGCTTCTTAGAGAACGGCTAAGCACGCAACAACCCTTGACTGTGGAGAAGCTCGCTAGCCACTTTTCCATTTATCTCTTGTCCTTGTTTTAGAAAGGCTCTTTATGTGTGTTTCTTGTTCCGCGTCCAAAGCATTAGCAAGGCGCGTGGAGAAGAAATCAGGCATGGGAGAGCGAACGCCGCGCGTGGCCATGTGTTTGCGTGTGTGCGTGATTTTGATCACCACCAACAAAGTGCTTTCCTGATCTTTTGCGGCGCCAACAGCCGAATTTTTTGTTAGAGGTAAGTCTCACAGAGAGACTACAACCCGTTCGAGATATGTAACCACAGCCGGAAGGGATGTGCCTAAGTCTTTTCAGTTTGTGGAGGGAAACCGGCTGGAAACGGAGCTTATTTGTAGTTTGTTGTACGCGTAAACACTGAGCTGTGTCGGTGAGCCGTTTGCACCGCGACGATCGGCGACTCTCTTGCCATCGTTCGGCGTTGTAAATTTGGGGCTTCTTTGATGGGCCAAACGGTTCATTTTGACGAGGGTGGCGCGGAGGAAAGCGGCTCTCAAAGATCTGCACCATCACAGCTTGTAAGGAAAAATAAGTGCACATACCGAAAGATTACCCATTCGAGATATACCCACAGTCGAGCGGGATCTGGTGGAGTCTTATCAGAGAGTGAAGGGAAACCGGCTGGGTGCTGGACTTGCGTCGAGTCTTTTTAACTCTCGTTTTTTTGGCAAGGGGGGGGGTCCTCGTCTCTCTTACGGTTTCTGTTTTGCCGACCACTCCCTACATTAGATACCGTCCCATCTCCCTTGCCGACTGGTCCCACCCTCCAACATATGCCTCCGCAGCAGCTGATGGTGCTCGCTTGTTTCGGCAGTCCAGAATGAGGGGCTTGCCACCCACACCAATCTCTCATCGACTCACGGGAGAAACCCTAAACCTAAACCTACCAACTCCGACGCCCGACAGGCGAACAAACGCCTTACACAACGAGAAGCTCATTTGACCGGTGGATTCCTTGAACCAGAGCTATGCGCGGAACTTTTCGAAGGCTTGCGCGTTTGTTTCCGTGATCAGGTTTGCTTGTTGAAGCGCTAGATACGTGTGAATCTGGTGCACGCTTCGTATACCTTGGGTTTCTCCCACACAAGAAATGCAGTGTCATCATAGTTTTATTTGCTACATCCATCCAAGAACGCCTACCACGGGCAATCAATCGGGAGAGAGTATCGTCTAGTTCTCCTTTCTTTCCTTGGCGCTGGACTTGATCCATCCATGATGACCCAGTGCCACCCCTCCTCTCGCCGCGACAGCATCACAGCCTCCGACGTTTTTCAGGTCAGGCACACGCGCGTAGGGGCGTACTCTTAGTCTCATCTATGTTTTGCATGCCTTAGCGGTTAGACCATTGACCACGCGTNCTACTTTGCCAAAGGTGGCTCAAAAATGTCTTCCCTAGTCTGTCTATCCTAACGATATCCCTTCCCGCCTTTTCAACCCACCTCCTATGCCCCACTACAGCTACCGTCCTCTCTTCTCTATTCCATGCCTCAAACATCTCCCTGTCTGTACGNGTCTTCCTCGTCTACCGTCCTTTGTCTTCGTCGACGTTCTCGAAGGCCTAGACTAAATGTCCCCGGTCCTGAATTTGACCTTGACCTTTGTTCCTGCATCCATTGGTCCATGTAGGTAATCCTTGAACCCTATTATTATTCCTTCCTTCAACATTCCGTACACTTCTAGACCCTCCTTATTTATCCTTGGTTTCTTTCCTCAGATTCTATTCTTTTCTCTCGGCACAAGCAACAGATATCTTCTCCTTGAACCCCTGTAGACCCTCCGTTTCCAGCGTTTCATCTTCGTCGATGTCGAGCCCCTTCCATACGTC